GGACTCGCCGCTCCTCGCCGGATAAATTTGACTTTCCGCCGGTTGATGATCGATAGTACGCTTTTGGAAATTAAATTTATCGCACTGTGACAGTTCATACGCGAGCGTTAAGGAGGATTCAATACAATATCTTTGTTGAGCGTACGATTTATTTAAAGTACGATATTGGACAACTTGTGCGAAGTACAAAATGTATTTGCGGCGGTAGAATGCCAGAGGTTACGGTATAGACCGCTCGAATGTTGTTGGTAGAATCGTGACATGTGTTTAACCGCTTTATGAGAGGTCATAGCCTATGTCCTCGAAAGCCACAAACGGAAAATCGCAATGAAAACATTCAACAGCCACCTGTCGGTGCAAGTATTATAGAAATTTAGAGAGTTTGCAACCTCCTCATTTTGTGTTTCATTAATTGTCCTGGAAGCCGTGTATAAAGTTGGACATACTAGTCTATTTTTAGTTAGGAGCGCACTTAACCACGTTGGGTTTTAACAGTCTCCCAATAGTAAGATTCTATGTAGCCGGTTACTGTTACGATGTAACTTAGAGGCGGGCCTAGTCGGAAGAGGGACGGGCCTAACAGAAAGAGGGCGTTGTTTAACCTGACGGAGCAGAGCTAACTGGCAGAGGAGAGGGGCCTAACCGATTTAGGGCGGGGCCTAACAGGAAGGGGCGGAGTTTAGTCGAGCAGAGACGGGTCTAACTAACGGCGGTGAGGGGCCTGATGGGAAAGGAGGTTTAACCGAGCGGGGGCGGAGCCTAGTCGAGCGGAGAACCCAGTGGACGACTCCCCTTGCCCCTCTGCACTTTTAAGCCTCAGGCTGATTGCACTAACGCGAGAAACGAGTACAACTATGCTTGGCTCCTTGACACACTCGCTCAGGTATAATGTATAATATTGTTGAGAATCATCAAAATCGGAGCAGGCTAAGCACATCGGTAACTTGACCTTTACCATTAAAACTACCGACCAGTTCAATCGACTTCTTGAAATTCCTCTGTAGGAACTCCAAGAGTGCATCCATTGAGACTTTGATTTATAATCGCGTATTGATAAATCAATTTCTTTAATAATTTCTCAGAAAATCCCTGTTATAGTAATCGCGAAATGAAGAACTCAGGAATGAGTCATTTCGACTCGTCTGGTAGTTCTAGCGTTAAATTTGCCAAAATCGAATAGTATCATTTCGTTCGCTTTGTTTCCTTGAGATTTGTCGAAGAGGTGTGCGTTATCGTTGACAATCCTCGCGAAGGTAACGGACCACCCTCTATAAGCGATCACGAGAATAATTTCGCCGATCGATGTCACAATTCCCTCGGGATTGATTGGCCCAGCGACGGTCGAGTTTATCGGCGCATTAAGGCGACGTACGAGTCGCGTTTAAATGTCGCGATACCACGTCCCTCGATCATGGTTCCTTTATAGATCGCGGGCCCCTGCGGGCTAGGCTCGCGTGAGCACAACCGAGTAAAATAAGAGTCGACGTTCGCGTACAATCCAATTCACGGCGAGGCAAGCTTGTTTGTTATTCTCTCTCTTCCCTTCTCCTTCCGTCTCTCCCGTCCTCCTCGGCCACGTTATCGATTTCACGGCGCCGCTCGCGCGACTCGACTGCGGCCGATAGCTGACTTGGATAGGTTCGATTACGAGGTATCGATTGCAACATACTTTACAGCTTCCCTGGGAGAAGTTTCGAAAAAGTGTTTTCACTCGGCGAGATCTCGCCGTGCTTTATGGGCTGCTCGGGGCCGGATTTAACACGCGCGACGTGTATATTCGTCGTCCGCTTCTCCGGCCGATCTTTTACACGAACTCGTTCTCTACACGATTTCCTAGCAGCTAGCCGCTATCGGTCGATATCCCCGATAAAACCAGCTGAAATAACATTGCAATCAACAGTGCGATAATTGACCTGCAACATCAAATGTCACTTTCGTTCATGTTATCGGACCACCTACCGCAGATAAAAGGAAATCGGTTCGAAACAATCGATCGTTTAGACTGGAACGCTTCAACCAGTGAGCTATTGCGACCTCCTCGAATAGTGTGCACCTAAGATCTGTAAAAAGTAAGTTTTCCAACGAGTATACTCGTTATAACGAAACCTTGTCAATTCATTTCACGATTTAGAGTGTTTCGTGTAACTATCCTTATCGTATAACAAACTCAAATCGCATTAGAATTAATTAGCAATGATTTGATACCGTAGCTCTCCAGTTACACTGTTCTTTAGCTACTACGTAATTAAATATACTGATACCTCAATTTTCTTGTAATTGTTTGCCATTAGTTTGCTCCAGCCATCGGTGATCAGCGTGGGCAACGCGTTAGGATCGCAGTTTCATGGAAGTTTCGCTGAAAGATCCGCGAAACGGCGCGCGGAAACCCTACGGTCGGCACAGCTCGAGCGCAATCCCTCTCTAATTCGTTCAACGTGGAATGTTAGAAAATATGGTAACGCAACGAACTGTTATACAACCGCGGCCGCGTTTCCGAGGTCCGTTTAAACTGCTAAGTGAATCGACAGGTTTCAATTTCTTCGGTTCTCTAACGGGGCATCAGAAGAAAGAGAGTATCGGAATAAAACGCGTTCAGCAACGGGGCTCGTCCCTGAACGTTGCTCAACCGTGATCTTCGAACAATGGCGCATCGGATGGTAGTACGCCTTCCTGTTATAACGCTCGCTTCCGCTTGATCCGTATACGGAAACTGTACACCGTTTTTGATGTCCATTGGGCTCTCCCGATGACATTCTCTTTTCTACCTTGGTGAATGAACTGTTTCTTCTCGCGAATCAAAGCTCGGCTGTGCTCGAACTTCCAAACAACTTCTAAACAGACTTCTATCGGTCTTTCTCCGATGAATATTTACCTCGATAAAACGAACGGCAAAAGAATGCCACTCGCGCACACGTCAAAGTAGAACGAGACGTTATTGCACCGGCGTAATTTCAATAAACACACGTGACATCCGCAGTTTGTCATTGAAAGAAGACACAGTAATGAACGAAACAGGGGCCAGCGTTGACGCCCCGACGATTTCGTAACTCGACCCATTATCGGCGTCACAGTCGCGTAATTATTACGTCCGATGCGCGCGGACCGCGGAAAGAAAGTATCCTCGGTGGTGAAATTACGAAGGTATCTCGCGCAATGGTCTTATGCATTTCAAGTAGTTCAATTAAGAGCTCGCGGAAGGGATCCAGCGTGATATTGAAAGGATTAAAAATCCTCATCTCACAGAACTGTCCTTTCATTAGCCATCCTCGCGGCGCGAGGCCCGCGGACTCACTTATCGAGCAGATTATCAATGATTTCGCAAACCCGCGAGCATGCTCCTGCGGCCGATTTGCATTGGAATCCGCTTGTCGCGCTTTTTCTCGCCGGCCGCGGCTGATCACCGCGGGAAACAAGGACGCGACGCGACGCGTCGTCGCTGGCTCCGTGGAAAATATTTAGCACACGGAAAATAAAGCGCGACGCATCCTACCGTGAAATTGCATCACTCGAGTTTTGTGATCCAGTTACCGTCTCCGCGGCTCGCTCGCCATAATCAAGCGTCATCGCTTCCGCCGACTAAACTCCTTCGTGGTTTTCGCGGGCCACTGATGTGGGTCGACGTTTTTCCCGGATTATATCGCGTCCACCGGTGTCCTGCCAACAACTCCATTCAATTCGTTCCTCGCGAGTCCACTGCGGATGTTTACGCCGGGCTTATTATAAATCCTAGTTTATACGACTCGAGGTACAGAGATTCGAGGACTCCTTCGCGTTCCGAGCAACGATAAACAATTCGCGGGACGCGTCGAGTCGTTCCGTTACATCGAGCTGCAGCGAACGCGCAAGTTTAATCCGCGATCCGCCGACGAAACGTATCGCTCCGGTTCCGCTTTTCTTTCTCGCCTCTTTTCGCTAAACCGATAGTTCCCGTAGGAGAGAAAGCGGCGGCTTTCGACGGATCGAAACGTCGATTTCATAGCCGGATCGCGGTTCGCCGGGAATCGAAGCCGCGTGGACGATCGATTCTCGTTCACGCTCGGCAAAGCGCGCTCTCCCGTTGCGCGTGTAATTTTGTAATCAGTGTTATCGGGCCGACCGGTGATCCGTGAGCTTCACGATCGGCGATCGCAACCTTTCCAAGGCCTCGAACGTGGGCCCAACCTCCCGGCGTATCGCGTGTCCGATTATCGTCCCGATCAAGGTTAACGCGCTTATGAATATTCACGACGAAGAGGCCCGGGTGTCCCGCGACATCGTCCTATCAAAACGCGCCGGCCAGTTTTTGCGTCACGACGGACACGCACGGACCTTAATTTACACCTGGCCCACATCGTAGCGTGACGACGGTTCCCGGTTTCGACGCCTAGCGGCGCAATAGCCTCGCGAGGCGGGCATCGATTATTTCTCGAAGCATCCGGGTTATGTAAAGGGAAGGGTTTGCCGTCCGAGGAATGTCAAGGAAGTCCCTAAACTTAGGCCATCTGCCATCGGCAGCTTGTTTATGCCCCGATAAAATAACAGATTAACAGCGACGTCAACACAGTTCCGTCCCAATTCGAATTCAAGCTGTTCGGCCGGGCGTTAACGATCATCGAATTCATCGCCGCCACGATCTTCCGCGAATCTAGACCCGGTGGCTCCAAATTTAGCCATGGTCCTTGAACTTTGATCGCCCGGTGGCGTGTTTGAACTTCTGCCCCAGACCCTGCCGACCTAAAGTTACACGATCGCTAATAATATTCCTAATTGCCGGATCGCGGCGAAGTGACTCGGGAAATCAACAAGTCCCGACTAGAACCGAAGTCTCGCCCGGCGTAGTCACACCCTAAGCAACCAGCAACGCCGTCGAGCCTATCTATCGGGTGTCCGTAACGTCCAGCGAGCCGTTCCCCAGGCTTCCCCTACTCTCCGCGTTTGATGTCCCACGGCGAGCCGCTCGCAGCGGCTCTCCCGCGCCTTTCTTCGCGCTGCTGCACCGCGTGTCAGTTCGAAAGCGGCCGCGGACAATAACTGACAAGCAACCGGTCAGCGAAGCTAGCCAGCGAGTCGAGCCGCGCCAGTCGGCTGCCAAAGTCGCGCGTCCCCTTCTGTCTACCGACCCGGTTGTTCCGGCATGTACAGTGTCTTCGTAAACGCGAGAAATTCATCTCCGGCTCGTTGTGAGAGTGTGTAGATCCTCGCGAGATGGATGAGACGTGAAGGTTGAAGAGTGCTGTGACCCGAGAAGCGGACTTCGAGTGCGCGGCCAGTGTGTCCGGCGGTTGGCCTTCCGTCCGCAGTGATATTCGACGATCTGTTTTCTCTATCGGTGATCCCGTTAAGCGCAGAGATTAATCGGGAGTTCGTCGGGGCCCGAGAGAAAGTTTCATCGATCACGAGCGATCGATGCTAGGCACCCCGGAGGTACGCCGCGCTGCTTTGAAAAACAGCTGCGTCGACGGCGACGCCATGGAACGAGGAACGAAGCTGTCGATCGCGGGGCGGGCGTTGAATCGCGCTGGAAATCGTGCAGCCAGCGTTGAAAAACGAGCCGTGGAATATCCTGGCCGATAAACGCGCGCTCCGGCCGCGCGAGAACATATGTTATCACGGCGACGCGATTATCCCGCGCCGACCGCGATAGCGTTGGCCGACCGCTCGTTCGGCGTAGACGGATTTCCTGATCGATACCCTCCGCGGATTCTTTTCTCGCTATCTCGACGCTGGCTGGGGCATTTCGTCGGAGGTTTTGCTCTCTCGTAACGTGTGACATTTAAATGTCAGCGCGGAGCCGCGGCGCACGACGCCAGGCCACCCGTTCCACTCCGTTTGCTTCGCGGGTTCGGCTGCTGTGTGTCTTTTCCGCGACGCGAGCACTTTCGCTGAACGCTAGTCCGGCGTTATTTCGTAACGCTCGGGATCCTTGAGGCTCGAGTCGCCGAGAGATTCATGTTCGGCTTGTCGAAGCTGCGGTACTACTGAGTCAGCGTTACTTCCACTGAACAATCGTGTTCAATCTTCGTGCTATACGAATGCTATCCTTTGTTCTGGTCGGCTTTGAAACTGAGATCTCGCCTTCGATGACCAGGGCTTTAGCTCTAAACTCCGGTTTACCGAAACTCGTTCGCATTCGGCCGGAGGACGACTCTAGAGCTGGCTGTTCAGGAATTCGTTGGCTCTCTACTTTATTGGAACCTCTATTCAGCTAGTCATCTTCGAGATCCTAGATTTTTCCTCTGTAACTAAGCACCAGCTCGAAACCAGGGACTGTCTAAACTTGCCATATTTGAGAATTCTAGAACTAGCTGACTCGGGAATTCGTTTGCTCTCGAATAGGAGCTTCGCTTTATTGGAATCTCTGTCCTTTGTTCCAAGTCACCTCGCAGACCCGAGATTTTTTCTCTATAGTCTCCATAAAGTTCGAAACTGGGGATCACCTAAGCTCGCCACGTTCCGATAGAGGACTCTACAGCGAGTTTAAAAATTCGTTCCCTCGAATGGCAGCCATTCCCCAGGACCCCGTATCGTACAGCTTATCCCCGTTGAATCTTTCTCCGCGGAAAGAGCTCGATGGTATCTGACTGGTCGCGTCGCCGTGTTCCCGTCCAGGGACGGAATTCTGGTAATTGTTTCTGGAGGCGGGTCGGTTGGAGGAACGTCTCGTGCAGGACGCACTCGCCGGGATAAGTAAGGTAGTGTGCTTTCGGGCACGGTAGGTTAATTCTCGTATAGTGGCTGGGTGTATTTAGAGCATAAAACGGCCTGGCGCGGTGGTTTCCTCGCCGCGTCCACGAGAGATCCGTGCACAGTCGAAAGAAGAGGAGAGGCGAGGAGAGGCGGGACTGCTCGAAATAATTATTCCCCGCGGGACGCGCGCGCGCGGGGCAGGCGCATCGGGTTTTCTTCTTCGCCGATGG